ATATATCAGATGCACAAATATTAATAATATAAACTACTTTCGAATGATGTTTGGTGTCCTTAGTTAAAATATTACTAACATTATGATTATAGAATTTTGATTATGTAAATGAAATTTGGTTTTGAATATAAAAATACAGACTGTATTCTAATTAGAAATAGAAATACTGGCTTTCTTACTTTAACACAACAAGCTGAAGTTAACCTGAAGTTAACACAACAACCTAAGTGGTTGAGGCTTCTGATACTCAAAAAGTAAATGATAGACAGTGCAGAATTTATGATTATGGCTCTATTTAATGATTTTTTTCAACTTTTAAGATGGTGCAAAAGCAGTGCTTATTCACTGGAAACTGTCCTATGAATTTTGAATTTTGATCACTTCCCAGGCTAGTAATACGTGTTATGATTAATTTTCATAATGTTGGGTGGTGGCAGGAAGCCACAGTTCCCAGGGAGCCACATCACCACTAGGGTGAACAACCCACACTCTACAGAGTACTGTGTCACTAAACTATGATGTTCTGTAAATGCATTTCAGTTTACGATGTTTTCCATTGAAGATAGGCCTCTGGGATGTAATCCTACCATAAGTTGAGGAGCTTCTCTATAGTTTGTTCAAGGTAGCAATTACTCAATGTGGGGGACAAGGTAAAATCCCCCAAGAGTTACTCTGGTATTCTCTTATTTACAATTATACTTTTACCTCTATTTTTGTAATGATTTGACGGCTTCATGTTTCAGTATATCTTATGACATTAAAATGCAACCAACGTATCATTCTCCAGCTCTAATTTTCTTCATCTTTTATTCAAACATTTATTTTATTTTATTTTACATACATACATGTGTGTGTGTGTGTGTGTATGTTTCCCCCTTTGAGACTGAGTCTTGCTGTGTTGCCCAGGCTGGCCTTGAACAACTGTGCTAAAGTAATCCTCCTGCCTCAGCCTCCCAAGTAGGTGCCACAATACACTCAAAATTTTAGTACAAGTGATTGGGGAACCAAAGAGTTCCAGAGTTTGTACAATGGGCAGTACGATACAACTTACAATTTGTAATCTAAATCCTTTGTAGAATAGAAAAATAATTATCCTGGGCACAGTAGTACATGCTTGTAATCCCAGCAACTTGGGAGGATCACAAGTTCAAGGCCAGCCTCAGCAATTTAGCAAAGCCCTAAGCAACTTAATGAAATCTTGTTTCACAACAAAAGATAAAAAGGACTCAGGATGTAGATCAGTGGTAAAGTGCCTCTGGCTTTGCCTAGTTCAAAGGGGGCAGGGGGAAGAGAAGAAGGAGGAGGAGGAGGAGGAAGAGGAAGGAGGAGAATTAAAGAAAGACTCAAGATTCACATCCTCAATCAACCCATTAATTGTGAATCTCGCATCTGGTTTTCTAACAGCTGGTTGATCGGTGATCAAAAAAAAAATTATTTGGAGCTTACTTCCTAGCAGGGGAGCAGGAAACAGAAAGTTAAAAAAGAAAAATTAATAAAATATAGAGTTCAGGTAGGTGCTGAGCAGAAAATATTGCAAGGAAAGCAATAAAGAGAGAATGGGGGAAAGGTGTTTATAATTTTAGATAGAGCAACTCAAAGCCCTCTGTGACAAGGTGGTATTTGTGAAGGAAAGGAGGGCAAGTAAGCCAAGCAAATATGGCTTACTGGGAGACTACTGCAGCCAAGGCCACATCAAATGCAAAGATTCTGGGCTGCAATGTCTATGAGGGATAGAGCAAGACAACAATGCTAGAAGGGTAGAAATCTCATAGGACTGCCTGGGTCTTTGTAAGGACTTCCAGTGGTTGGTTGGTTGGTTGGTTGGTATTCTCATTGAGGTGGGAGACACTGAAGGCTTTGTGATGTTGTTGAACATTTATTTGAAAAGAATGTCTCTGCTCTGCTGAATGTACTAGATAACAATGACAATAGAAATTAATTAATTAGGAAGCTATAAAAATATCAGGTGGTTTCAATGAAGTTGGTACAGTTTATGTTATGAGCAACTGTCAGATTTAGAAGGTAGAATCTATAAGATCTCTCAACCAATTAAAAGGTTTTTCTGTGTGTGAAAGAAATACAGAAATCAATAAGACTCCTAAGTTTTTGTCCAGAATACTTCAAATAATGAAGTTGCTGTTTCCTGACATGGGGGGATCAGAGGGAAAAGCAGATTAGAGGATTGTAGGAGAAAAGAGAACAGGATAAGGTCAGTTTTTGACATATAATATTTAATAATATTAAATATCTAAGTGGAGATTGGATGGATGTTGAAGCTATACCAAGAGTTCAACCCTCAGGAATTTGTTCTGAAAGGAGTAGGGTATATAATTAGTTAAAAGAAAATATTTACAAAGCATATTTCTGTGTCATGCATATTTCTAGAAGATGAATATGATCCTTGTTCTTTAGGTGCACAAGAGTGTGTATAAACCATTTTACAGGAATTGAATTACATAGTTCTCACAAGCAGGGAACTTCAGAAATAGGAATACTCATTCCATTAACACAGTGTTACAACTTTTCCTAAGAGTTTTACTTAATTGGGCAATCTCTTGAAGGGAGTTTTGTTGTTGTTGTTTTTGTTTGTTTGTTTGCTTTCAAGCACTAACCTCCTGGAAGTTAATGATTATAGATAGAAGGCTACTATAAACAAGGCTCTTTAAACTTTCATCTCTTATTAACAGTTAATGTCCATTGCTCTTTTCCTTTCATCTTACTGATAAAATTTACAATTTGAGTTATATCAGATCCCAGTATTCATCACCTTTCTTCTGTGTTTGAATGGGTTTTTTTTTACTTTTGTTTGTGACATTTTGAGATCTGGTATTCTTCTCTCAATAACTTTGCATGGGGTTTCTGAAGGACCTACTAAGACACCAAGTAACACATTTTAGTATTGCAACTGCTGAAAGATTTTGGGAGCTTTTATTTATTTTATTTTTTTTCTGTTTCATCCTCTCTCTTACACTACACCTGCCCCCCTTCCTTTTCCCTTTCCTTTGGTATTTAGGATATATTTGAGAAAGTATTAAACCTGCTATATATATTTTTTCCATTATTGGAGACTGCTGTGCTGCATATTGGTGCTTGATCCTCAATTGCAGCGTCTTTTCTTTGAATCAAACAAGAGAGCAAATAGCTCTCTGTTCAGAGAACCCAGTAGCAATAACCACTCTCCATTCTCAAATAGTAAAAGTAATTTTAAGCTGTCAGAGACCCAACCCTACTCTAGAAGTATCTCCTGGAGAACAAAGCAGTTAACACAGTTTCATGTGGTTTTCTTTCATGATTTGTGTTTCTTTGGAGATTTACACTCTAGAGTTATACAGAAATATTTCAGAAGTGTTTCACTGACAGTTCTAGAAGTTTTCATCCAATAACTACTATTAAGTCATATCCAGTAGCATAAGAAGTATTAAGATTCAGATTGCAGCCTGGAGGTTCACTTCTGATAATTTCTACATTCCAAATAATCTTTGAAAGCTTGAAGTTTGAAGTGAAAGACAATAAACAGAAGGCTTAGATATTTATGTAATTTTAACAGGAGTACTCACTTCCGTTGGTGTGGACAATAATTAATTGGTCACTTCCATCCTAAATCAATGTGTATCTACACAGTTGAAAAAATGTATCCATTAGGAACATATCTATTGTTATCCACTCAGAGTTTTTCTAAGTACATGTTTATACTTTTGCATATGTTCATAAAAAATTAATGTCATCGATTTGTATCTTTTAAGTTTTTTAAATAAATGATCTCATCCTGTTTAGATTCTTTTGCTGGTTGCTATTTTTTTTTAAAGTAAACCTTATATTAGTTTTTTGAGAAGTATCCATGTTTGTAACAATAAGTCTAATATACTAATTTTCTACTTAAGAATTACACATTTTAACTTTATTTACTTATCTAGTACTCTACTGATAGAAGTTAGGTATTTAGGGCTTTGCAGGAAACCTAGGAAGATAAAAGTAATGGACTGTAATAGAGAGTTTCTCAACTCTGCTCTACCACCTTGGCACACGGCTATGGTGGGAGACCCTGAGTTCTAAAACCTTGAGGAATGGGTTTTTAGTTTGCATGGGGGCAAACTAAAACAGAATGGACAGAGACTTTTGAATCTTAGGATAAATACAAAAAATGTAATAATGGACAGACCAAGGAATGAGGCAGTCCATGACCTTCTTATCATAGCCCAAAATGGCAGTGTCATGAAGCACAGAAGTGTATTTGTGAACTTCTTCTTGTTTCTTAGCACTATTATCTGCTTTATTCTGTTATTAGGCATAGTGATTCTGAATACTTACTTTCCATCTACATATAACAGGTTTCATTCATTTAAACCCCTTCAAGGATAAATTTCCTGATCTCCTTAAGCCATTCAATATGAATATAAATCCAATGAATATCCTCTTTCTTTTAGATCTTCCCACTAAATAAATGGTACACATATGTGACTATTCATGAGAATTAACTAGGGATTTTTATAAAAATGCATACTTTTATGAACTCAACTTGTAAATTCTGATAAATAATTTATAGAACATAAGAATTATATATTTCACATACAAAAACAATCCTGAAGTGATTCAAAATTGAATTGAGACACCATTTCCTTAAGTGTGTAGCTTGGTTTTTTTTAATAGAGTATTCCCCAGAGGGAGCTGTATGAAAATTAATTTTAAAAGTAATATAAGTTAGAAAACCAAAGTTTTTCCTTGAAATATTTGGCCACATTAAATGGATATGAGTCAGCTATTACTATCCTGAAATGCATTTGCTAAGAAAGTAGCAAATGCTATTGACATTGGTGAAGATGCAAGTGATTCACACTTCAGAGGAAAGATGAAATGCTCTATTTGTGAAAGAGAAATTTTTATTTATTGATAAAGGATATTTTGTGGGTTATTAAGATCATGATTCCTGAATCCAGGCACATATGAAACTTTATAATTGGTTATGATGATTACAACTTTTTTTTTTCCTATTGTGTTTTCAGCACAGTGATGCAGTCCATGACCTTCTTTTGGATGTGATTACATGGGTTGGAATTTTGCTGTCTCTTGTTTGTCTCCTGATCTGCATCTTCACATTTTGCTTTTTCCGCGGGCTCCAGAGTGACCGTAACACCATCCATAAGAACCTCTGCATCAGCCTTTTTGTAGCAGAGCTGCTCTTCCTCATTGGAATCAACCGAACTGACCAACCAGTAAGCCACCTCCATTGACATTAGTAAAGAATTCTTTGACTTCCAGTTTTCCATATTGCCAATACTGAAAATAATTAAGATTGAAAGTATATTTTCTTTCATTTAATAGATAGTACTTTTCAGATGTTACTCATGTTTTTCATTTTTCATGTTCCACTGTCATAAAATACTAGTAAATATTGTGAATGAGATGCACATCTTTTATTTTTTATTTTTTTGCTTATTTTTTTTATTAGAGCAGGTTTTGATTTTTCAGTAAAACAGAGATTTTCCAATGATCATTTGCTTTCACATATGCATAGTCTCCTCCTTTATCAATATCCTCCACCCAAATGATACATTTGTGACAGTTCACCAACCCATATTGACATATTATTATTATTATTGAAAGTCCATAGTTCATAATTTGTTAGAAGTCACTGTAGGTGTTTATATATTTTATGAGTTTGGACAAATGCATAGATCTGTATATTTACCCTTAAAATATCATACAAAATATTTCCATTGACTTGAAAATTCTCTGTACTTCCTGTGGTCATTCCACACTCCCTTTGAAGTCATGGCAACCACTAATTATTTGTATTGTCTCCATTGTTTTGCCTTTGCTGAAATATTATCCAGTTGGAATCATGTAGTTTGTAGCTTTTTCAGATTTGATTTTTTCACTTAGTAATATACATTGAAGTTTTCTCCATGTCTTTTGGAGACAAGATAGCTCATTTCTTCATAGTACTGAATAGCAGTCCAAAATGTCTAATGTACCACTTTATTTATCCATTTACCTACTGACAGACATCTTGGTTGCTTCCATGTTTGGATAATTATGAATAAAGATACTATAAACATCTCATATGCAGGTTTTTGAACAACCATATTTCCAACTACTTTATGTAAATATCGAGGAGTGTAATTACTGGATCATATCATAAGAATATGTTTAGTTCTGGGAGAAATTAACAAACTGTCTTCAGAAATGGCCTTACTATTCTGAATAAGATTTACATTACTTCCAAAATTTTCTTTCCTTTCTCATAAACATCTTTCTGAAGAACTACATATCTTCATTATCTTTTTCTTAATTTTTAAAATTGTAGTGCTGAATCTTGGAGAATGTTTAATAAGGTCATTTGAAGAATGGAGAAATATCTTTTCAAACAGAATTGTTATTTTTTCAGCTTTATAATCTTGAAAAGATAGCTAATATTATCTTACATTTTGCATCTCAAAAATAGTTTTTCTAATTGACACATTTTGGCAAAGAGTACAAACTATAGGTTATTTTTAGAATATATATGCTTTTCCCAAATTATGTTTGGTACTTTTTATTTCTTTGGATATAGTTCACCTCTTTAAATGCCGGCTTCATTCTTGAATATTTCCTACATTTAGTCATTACTGAGGAAAGAAGGAAGAAACAAAGAAAGAAAAAAACAAACGGAACTAGCCAACTGTTTTTTTTTGGTAAAACCAAACAAAATGTATAAACAATAGACAACATCTTACATTACATAGATTTTGTGCCCAGTTAAAATTTTTTGAGGCCTTTTCTGTTTAAGATCAATAATTATGGTACTAGTTTGTTTTCATGATTAAAACTGCAATGGAAAAGAAAGACTTTTGAGTATAATAAATAATTCATTCACTTAATACTGTTCTTTAGTATGTGCCTATATGCATGGTGTACTTTATAGTACAAATGCAGTGGATTCATATCTGTGATTACACATTCATGATTAATGACTGAAAAGGTACAATTATGGTGAATATATTTATAATTGGTTATCATATACTTATGTGGCAATTTTGTCCCTAAATGTATATATATGAATAAGCAATCAAAGTATACATTCCTTTCCCCAAAAAAGTAAAGCCCTACAATAACAAAAATTAATAGCTGAAGTTCTAACTCTAAAAGGCAATAAATGAAAAATTGTGTTATTTTTCAAGAAGAGATTATGTTATTCTTTTGTTAACCTGCAATTTAAATACTATTTGATTTATTTTCATTTAGAAATATTATTTTTGTTTTTGCTTCCTGACATTACATATGGTATGATGAACTTCACTAAATATTGTCTACTGCACAAATGTGGTTTTTGATGAGTCACATAAAGAATAGTGATTGAGGGGCTGGGATTGTGTCTCAGAGATAGAGTGCATGCCTAGCACGTGCGAGGCCCTGGGTTGGATCCTCAGCACCATATAAAAAATGAAATAAAATAAAGATATGTGTCCACCTATAAGTAAAAAATAAGCATTAAAAAATAGTGATTGATATGAAAAAACCTGGGTATAGTGAAGCTCAACCAAACTTATCTTTCCTTTTATTGCTGATTAGGTATCCTCTTCTACATCTGTCTAAGGCTTGAGACCTGATTTCTCTCTCTTTCACATGTCCTTCATGTCATCTTTCTATCCCAGTGACAGTGACCTACCCTTTGTCACATTTTTCTATCCCCATCGCTGTTTTTTTCTTTGTTGTTGTTGTTTGTTTGTTTGTTTGTTTTGGTACTGGGGATTAACCAAGGGGCACAAAACCACTGATCATATCTCCAGTCCTTTTTATGTTTTATTTTGAAATAGAGTCTCACTAAGTTGCCCAGGCTGGTCTTGATCATGTGATTCTCCTACTTCAGCCTCTAAGTCACTGGGATTAATTAAAGGTGTATACCACCATGCCTGCTTGTCACATTTCTTTAGGACCAGACTTATCAATAAATTAATCTTATTCTTAAAAATTTCTATAAGGTACTGATGTTTGCTAATAGGAGTTATAGAATTTAGTCAACACTTCCTGTAAAAAGCAAGAACTCAAAGCAGTGAGAATTTCAGGAGCTGAAATGAGAACGGAAAATTAATAGATGGTCAGCAGAAATTTACAGTACCTTATATATAAATGCCAGATGAAGTAACACATGGCTCTAATCCCCTCTACTCAAGAGGCTAAAGCAGGATGATCACAAGTTCAAAGTCAACCCAGGCAACTTACTGAGACCCTGTCTCAAGAATTAAAAAAAATAAGAAAAAGACTGATGATGTAGCTTAATAGTAGAACAACCCTTGCTTCAATCCCTGGTACCAATAAATAAATAAATATTTTAAAAATAGCTTCCAGGATTATTTTTTTTCCTCCTGATCCTAGTCATGTGTGTGCTAATATAAATAAATAAATAGAAAGATAAACAAACAAATAAATAAATAAGAACTGTTGCTTCATTTGACTAATCTTGTTTAGAGTGATACATAGTACATTGACAAAAATACCAGGAAAGAAACAAGGCAGGGAATCAATAAAGAAGCAATTACTAATAATTAGTAATCTCATCATAAAAGATTATCATTAATTATATTGTTTAATTTTAATAAAATTTATTCCCCTTGGTTTTAATGTTTCTCCCTTCTTTACAATTAAATAAAGTAGAGCTGGGGATCTAGCTCAATGGTAGAGCTCTTGCCTTGCACACGTGAGGCCCTGGGTTAAATTGCTAGCCTCAAAGGACAACAACAAAAAAACAATTTACTATATTAGTTCACACATGACTAACCAGGAAAAAAAAAAACTCCTGAGATCTGTTTTTAAAATCTTTAGACTAAGCTTAGTGGTAATTATCCATAGGCTCTTACTAGAATTTTTTCCTAAGTGTTGTAATTTGTCCTTATTCTGATGCTATGTTGCCATCCCTAAACCATTATTGGGATTAAGTACAGATTTCAAAGATTAAACCATATTTAATTCGTGTTTAACACTTGTATTTTAAAGATCTTCTCTGGATGACTTCTGCAGGTCTACCTTACTATGGCAATGTTGATAAACACGTCAGTTTTTCGCCATTGACACACACTCACTTGGCAGATATTTGACTGACTCTGCTCATCTTCCCAGATCGCCTGTGCCGTTTTCGCTGCCCTCTTACATTTCTTCTTCCTGGCTGCCTTCACCTGGATGTTCTTGGAGGGCGTGCAGCTGTACATCATGCTGGTGGAGGTTTTCGAGAGTGAGCACTCACGGAGGAAGTACTTCTACTTGGTGGGCTATGGGATGCCCGCACTCATTGTGGCTGTGTCTGCGGCTGTGGATTACAGGAGTTATGGGACAGACAAAGTGTGAGTGGATGGCTTTCTCTCTCTTTTCTCCTTCTCTTTAAATCTAGTTGAAATGAGCTTTCGTTGGATTCTCTCGGTCTTTGTATTAACTCACAGAATTAAAGGAAGGATCTGGAAAAGCGAACGGATATAATTCAATGTATGATTACATTTTGTTGTGTTTTCTAGATCATAACCTCAGGTAATGATAAGAATGATAATTTTGTTGTTTTTCAGAGACTTGAGATATTTGTACAATAAAGAGCTAAATATATGAAAAGCTGTGGGTTTTCAGAGGACAGAGCAGTTCCTGACACAAGTGACATTTTTTCCCTGTGACTCCTAATCACTAGAAAACTTTTTATATCATTAATGGAAGAATTCTAAGAGCTAGAACAGTTTGCGTCCCCCCCCCCTCTTTTTTTTCTTCCTCTTACGTGGGTTTTGGAGTGTAGTGATGAATTTTAATTTCAATATAACTTTAGGTTAGTGAGACCAACAAATAGAGATGTCCAGCTACTGAAAGAGTTCAGTTAAAAAGTTTTTGTAATCCACATAAACTATTAAGATCCAAGGATGAGTGAGGCTTTCAGTAGAAAAAAAAAAAAAAAAGATCAAAAGAGATCACTGATGGATATCCATGTTTGGGACATAGACCAGGAAAGGAACAGAAAAGTAAAGAAAGAGAGGAGAAAAGCAGCACCCCAGAAATAGAACCGGACTTTGAGGGTCAAGGAAAGTGAAAACAAAGTTTCAAGATGGTGGTTCAAAACCAGTGATGATTTATGTCAGGGATAGTTCGAGTAGGATGAGCATCAAAAAAAAAAAAATTGACCTTTGCAACAGCTGTTTTGAGAAAGTGCCAGAAACAGAAGCCAAATTGAAGGTATAAAAAGATACGTTAGTCATAAGAAAGCAAAGTCTTCAAGTATTATCCATATCCTGCAGTAATTTGATTGAAAAGTAGTGAAACCGTTAGCTTGTGCAATTACAATAATGAAGAAGGATTTTAGAAGATGAAGTCTTAAGCATGTTTAAGGTGAGAAGAATCAAATTGATAGGAGATTAACAGAGAAGAAAATGCCTTGTGCCTTATTTGTATTCAGTATGTATAGGCTGAATGAAAGGGAAAGGTCTTGGGGGAAGTACAAAATACTAAGCACAAGATTAGAAAGACTTTTATTTAATATTGAACGTGGCTTTAAAATTCACCAAGTAGGAAGGTTTGGTGCTGCATGCCTATAGTCCCAGCACCTGGAAGGCTGAGGCAGGAGGGTCACTCTTTCAAGGTCAGTCTCAGCAATTTAACAAGACCCGTTCTTAAGATAGGGCTGGGGATGTAGCTCAGTGATAGAGTGCTTGCCTAGCATGTGCAATGCCTTGAGTCAAATCCCCAGCACTGCCAAAAAAAATTCAAAAACAAATGAATAAAACTCACCAAGTACCTGGTATTAATTTTACAGATTAGAAAATCAAGGACCACATTAATTAATTGCCTTGCCATGGTTATACAGCTAAGATAGTTTCAGACAAGTGATAATGAAAATCAGATTTATTTCAAATGAAGTACTCCCTACAAATGATAAGGTAAATTTTGAAGCAGAGAAAAGTTTCCATCAAGTAGACAGTGAGGATTTTTACTGAGTGAATAGGTGAGGTCACATTGAAAGGACAGATTTGAAAAGCTGTAAAGTGAGCACTATGGAAAAATGTGTTCAGGAGCCAATTAGACTTTAATAAAAAGATTTCCAAGCAGCATTGAAGGCTCAGATGAGGTTAGATAACATCAATTTGTACAGAAGTTAAGCCCAATTTCATGACTTTCTACCAATATTCAGCAGCCTGAACATGATGGCAATAAAGCAGCTTGCTTCCCAGAAATGAGGATCCATAAAGAGGAAGCACCAAGGAGAGGATGCCAGAATTTGGGGGAGCATAATAAAAATACCATATGTGTTGGTGTATAGGCACTGATACAATTAAAAGAAGACCATCTAAATTTTGTTGAGGTCTTTTTTTCCCCCTTGAGTACAGCAACAGGCTCTATAACACTGTCTGAATGCAATTAATAACAAGTATTTTTTAATCTGGCTTTGTGAATTTTAGTTAAAACTCAGTTTATTCTGTGGATCTCAGAAATAGTTGTGAAAATAAACTAAGATATGAAAAAATCTGAGGTTGTCTCTAAAGATATCATAGGTGACAGCCATTAGACTCATCATAGATTAAAACAAAGAATTTGTTTATTGACATAAATCACATACTGTAAAACTTCTTTAATGCATATACTTTGTTTTTGTCATGTACCTATTGTTGTGCATTCATCACCATTAATTTTATATTTCTATTAACCTGATAACAAACCCACATAAGCAGTTACTCTTCCTGGACCTCAGGATTTTACATTTTGATTAATGAATTCTCCCTCTAAGAAATTAACATTATATTATTTCAAATATTTGTTTTAAACAGTTCAATTTTGTTCTCTTGAAGGTCCTGATTTGCTTTTGTTTTTGTTTAGTATTGATTTTATTTTCTTTTTAGTCATTTGCATATATTCCTGTTACTGAGCTGATTCAACTTGTTTGCTTGTTTTTTTTTAATCATTCATTTTGAGACAGAATGTCATATTTCTGGATAGTAGAAATCTGTCTTTCTTTGAATAAATAATATACAGTCTCTTGTGACTTTTTAAAGCTTTAGCCATCACGGCTTTAATTTCCTGCACCATAACTGGAAGGTCTCACTTACTGATATTATTACTTTGTGCGAATAGAAGCTAATTTATTTCCCAGTCACTGATTTAAGCAGGCCCTAATAGTTCAGTTTTACAATTATCATTATTTCCAACTCCTCCACAAAGCAAAACAGATATTGATAAAAGGGAAAAATACATGAAAGCAAGAAGAGAATAGGGAAATTTTCATTAAAATTCTATCACAGGCAGACATGAAGTGTTTTAATACCTCAGTTGTACATTTTAAATAAATTGTCTACGGAAAGGCATTTAAAATACATGGAAAAATGTTTACCTCTAGTTTTTGTAGTTTATCCAACCCAACATCTACACAGTGATATTTTGCTCATTGAAGAAGCAGGGATTCAGAGAACCATTATTTAGTCCATGGTGTTTACCTGAGAAGTTGAATGAATTTAACCTATTCCCCTCATGGCTTAATCACATATTCTTAGAAAAGTAAATAAATAAGCAATGAATTTTTACACAACATGCAGCATTTTTGCATATCAAAATATATATCTTGCTTTTTATTATCATATCTGTCTTTGTTATTCTACTTTCTGTTACTGCTGTTTATTGCTTTCATTTTAACATGTATGGTCTCTCCCAGGTCCTACTCACCACATGACTTCTCATTCACGTTAACTGCTGTTTCAAGTTTGTTTGAGTTTATTTGCTAGTGCTACCTTCCTATATTCTTTATTGAATTTTTTTAAAAATCTAGTATAAAGTGACATGAGCCAGACATTAGAGAGATATTATTAGCTATTTTCCATAAATTTTTATAAAGTTCAATATAGTAAATTTTTTGTCTTGGAAGTCTTTTACACTAATTTTTGAGATTAGCATGATTCTTAAATTTTTACTGCTTGATCTCACCCACTTAGAGTACGTCTACAATAAAACCATTTAATAAATATTATAATCATCCACATAATAGACATTTCTCCTTTTTCTCCCCTGTGTTTAATTCTTTTATTATACTGACACTGAAGTTTTATGTGTCTGAAATCTTTAACAATGATAATAATTGCTTGCATTTCTAAAAAGTAGATAATCATATCAATGGAAGGAGATACAGTTAGAGATAAAATGTTTTTTGGAGGTTAAATAAATGCTATTTTGATAAAGATAGAGGTAACTCATATTTTGTTTGATGGATTATGATGAGTTTTTCTATGAGATGTTATTAGGGCTATTGAATTTATTATTATATACAAAACACATACTCACACAAAAAGCATTTTGAGATGTTGTTTATTTGGCCATCAATTTGCAATGCTTATAAAGAATCATTATTTTCTGATGTTTGTTTAACGATATCTTTTTATCTGACTGATATATACTCACAAAGATCTATTTAGAATAACATTTGGACACAATAATCTGAAATTTTAAAAAATCCATTTGAAGAACTAAATATCACTTTTTAAAAAATAGTACTCTGCTAAATCTAAATTGCACTGTTAATAATGGGCATTTATTTCCATTTTTCTCTGTTTTCATTTATTCTCTTGATCTCTCATACTTATATTCATTGGAATATTCAGTGAAGCCATTCAATAGGATACTATCAGGAGACAATTATAGCAAAGATTGGTATTGACATAAAAATATTTCAAACTGGATTGTTTTAGAAATTTGGTGCTAAATACTTTGGTATTATCATCTTAAACTAATCAGTTCATTTAAATTTTAGTTATTTCAATATTACAAAAAATGTAAATACTTTGAACAGTAATTTTTTACTTAAAGAGTAAAATCATATCAAGATTTTATAGCACCTTCCTCCCAATCTCGTGTATACAACTGAAAAAGTAGTAGATGAGTGGTTTGGAAGAAAGGATAAGGAATTAATATAAGCAAGGAGAGTATTGAAATAATATGAGCAAGGAGAGTATTTTCTCTCTCAGCCCCAGAAAAGTGGCTGAGAGAGAAAATCTGAAGTAGAAAATTGGTGTGATGGTTCTAAAAGTGTGGAATAAGTTAAAAAAATTATAATCAACCAAAAAAATTTTAGTAGTAAAAGAATAGCCAAACTCTTAAAAGAACTTAAATCAGATTGTATGATCTGAAATTGTTGTAAATCATCTACTATATCTTGCATGTGGCTCCCAACTTATTAGCTTAAGAGAAGTTCTAAAAGGGGTGGTTTTTATTAGTTATAAGTCTCAGATATCTTTATTTTCACTTCTTCATCTCACCACTGTAAGTATTTGAGTAGAAAAATTATTGTTGATTTAAAAAATACTTATTCAAGATAGGGAGTAGACAAGAAACA